AGGGTCGCTATGGGTCGGAACCGACTCGATGGCACATAACAACAACAACAACAACAGTTCAATCCATGAGGTCCATACATTTAGATTACCAGTCCTTTATCGAGTCAGTGTTTTACAAATATATGTTCCCTGTTTATGGTTTATATTTTCATTTTCTTAATAGCATCTCTTTAGTAGCAGATGTTTTGATGAAGTCCAATTTATCAAGATTTTTTTTTTTTTTTTCTTTCATGGTTTTGTGTTATGTATGGTTTCTAAGAAATTGTTCCCTATCCCAACAGGATTTTCTATTAGAAGTTTTAGGGTTTACATTGATGTCTGTGTTCCATTTAGTTACATTTATATATAGTTCCAGATACAGTACAACTTCTTTAATTACTTACCCCCTCCCCATTTTTTTTCACACATGGATATCCAGTTGTTCCTGATTATTGGAAACACTATCCTTTCTCTGTTGTATTTACGTGGCATGTTAGTTAAAAATCAATTGCATATATGAGTGGTTCTTCTGAATTTTAGTAGATCCATTGATCATTATATCTACCTTTTTACCAATGCCACACTGACTTGACTGATTATAGAAAGTCTTGAAATTAGGTAGGGTAACATTGTTCTATTTCAAAATGGTTTTATTCTGTTCCTTTGCTTTTCCACATAAACTTCTACAGCAGTTGTAGAAATCAACTTGTTGATTTCCACCACAAAAAATGACTGCTGGAATTTTGCTTGGAATTACTTTGAATCATCAATTCGTGGAAAATTGACATCTTCAAAGTACTGAGTCTTCTATTCCACAAGAACAGCATGTTGTTGTTGTTGCTAAGCACCATATAGTCAGTTCTGACCTATAGTTTCACTATGTAGAGTTTTCCAAGAGCAGCTGATGAACTTGAACCACCAACCTCGTGGTTCAAATGGACTTTGCAGTCCAGGCGTTTGCCCACAGCACCACACCAGGACTCATTTATTTAGGGGGTCTTTTGATTTCTCTCACTGATGTTTTTTAGGTTTTCACACACAGATAGCACATGTATTTTTATAGATTGATCCCTAAGTATTTTATTTTATTTTATTTTGGTGTTTTAGTGCTTTTATAGCTGTATTTGACAAACTGTATATAAAATTTAATTTATTTCTAGTTCTGAAATAGAACTACTTAATGTATATTGACACTGTTTCCTAAAACTATGCTAAAAATAAACTTAGTCTTTTATTCTATTGACTTTTTAAAATAAAATTCTTTGGTATTATCTTAAAAGTAGTTGTATAATCTGTAGATAAATAGTTTTATTTCTTTCTACCATTTTCTGTATCTTTGTTTCTTGTTTTAATAACTAAGAAATCCTGATAGTACAGTACTCAAAAATTACACTCCTGCTAACTGAAAAGTCAGTAGTTCAAAACGACCAGCCGCTCTACAGAAAAAAAAAACCATGTGAGACTCTGCTTCAGTAAAGATGTATGGCCTTGGAAATCTTGTGAGACAATTGTACTCTGTCCTGTAGGCTCACCATGAGTCAAAACTGAGAGCAGTGCTGGGTTTTGCACTTTGGTTTTTGTACTAGTTAGAAGTTGAATCAGAGTGACAATAGACACTTGCCTTCCTAGACTTCTATTTATAACTGAGTCTAGATGAAGTTACTCAGGGAAGAAAGAGGGCCAGGACCAAGCCCTGGGAAATCGCAGTATGTATACATAGAATAGTAAGAGATGAGAAAGAACACAGATAGGAAGAAAGCTGTATCTATCAAGCTGTAGAAGAGAGGGGTTTATCAAGGAGGCATTAGTAGGACGACTTGGTTGAATCCAAACTTAAAAAGAATGTTCATTCAACTATAAGAAAATCACATCTAGCTTTATCTTTGTTCTGAGCTTGATTTTTGTGGAACATTCTAACAGGTTATCTAGCATCCAATAATAAGTTCTTTTTTAAACTACTCAGTGTCAAGGGCTTATTAACATCAATTTCTTAGCATGGAAGTCAAACTCAGGTGTAATTCAAGGAAGAACCGTGAATTAATTGCCCTCATAGGAGACCCTCATACTTTTGGCTTTTCAAGCTTGAAGATCTTTAGAAGGCTGGAGTTAGACCCCAGTAGATAGCTAGGTGATAATAGATACCCAACTAATAGAGCCTCTGTGCTGAAGGTACCTTTAAGCCCTTATGTTTTGTTTAGTTCTTTCAAGTAGATTTTATTCCTATCTCTCATCTTCCTAATTTATTTCCTTTCTGATGCCCATTTCTTGAATCAAAACTTAGAGGTTTCTCTTCCTAGACTCTCCTAAATTGCTTCTCTAACTGTGAATTGTTCTTAGTCATTGGGAAGCCCCTAGATGTTAGAAATTGTCAGTCTTAGGCATTGGCTTGATGACCACCTAGGTTAACTAAATCTCTCTCTCCCTGCAGGATATATAACATTGGATCCTGAAACAGCTCATCCTTGCTTGGTTGTGTCTGAGGATCTGAGAAGTGTCAGGTTTGGAAATGGACATCAGAATGTACCTGGTAACCCATGGAATTTTGACTTCAGTGCCACTGTGCTGGGCATGGAGAGTTTCACCTCAGGAAGACATTACTGGGTGGTGGATGTGGAAAATGCAACAAACTGGCAATTGGGCATATATATGAACAGTGCAAGCAGACGGAGCGATATACCCAATACTTGTGGAGATAAAATCTTACTGACAAGATCCATGATGGGAACCGATAGTACTCTCTGGATCTTTCCCCATTTAAAAAGAGTTTTCTGTAGAGAGCAAATACGCAAAGTTGGAATTTTCCTAGACTATGAATATGGAGAGCTAGCATTCTATAATGTGACACAGAGAGCCCTCATTTACAGTTTATCTTGTCTCACCTTCCACGGAACTATCAGGCCTATATTTTCTTTTTGTATCACAAATGAAGGCATGAATTCCGATTCTGTCACTATTTGCCCCCCTCCTGCTTCTTATAAGGCTATTTACTGTTAGCCTTCAGTCTTTCTTGGTGTGAAATCTGCAGTCACGTAATGCCAGAAAGTTAAGGCCATGACCTTGTAAGATAATATATGTTATCCAATAAAAGATGTACTTCACTTAAGTTGGAACCCAATTCAGTACCCCAGAGGCTTTATGTTCCTGAAATTTCAAGACCCATTTATTGGATGAGGTTGTTTTTAATCCAAGTCATGAATGATACTGATTTGAACAAACACTCTGCCCTGCCATTCACTCGATGCCAACTCATAGCAACCCCATGTCCTTGAGAACCTTAGACAGGCTTGCTATGAGTCGGGACCGACTCATGGCACTTAACAACAACGTAGGTTTAGAGGATGTAAATCCTTACAGAAGAAAGCCTCACCTTTCTCCTATAGGGTACCTGGTGGGTTTGAATTTCAAACTTTGTGGTTGGCAGCCCAGTGTTTATCCAACAGCAACACTAGAGTTCCTATATGAAGCCAAGTATTGGGAAATTAAGAAACATTTAATTCTGATAGTACTGTGGGTTAGGTGTTGGACTGTTAACCACAAGGTGGTTTCACCCACTAGCCATTCTTAGGGGAAAAGATGAGGATGTCTACTCCCATAAAGAATATACATACATTCTTGGAAATACTATATCCTATGAATAGGAATCAATTTGATGGCAGTGGTTTTGGTTTTGATTTTGAATAGAACCATGTATATTCATGGAGGCTTCAAAAACTTTGTGGAAGTCTCCATTTTTTTTTTTTTTTAATTTAATTTTCCATGAACTTTTTAAAGCTTCCTGTTTTTGAAAACATTGGGGATCCCCAGGAATGAAATCAGAACTTTGTAGATTTGAGTGTTCCTTTTTAGTGCCATATGGAAGGCTTACTATTACTGACATGAACTTCCTATTATTGACACTGAGTATCAACATTTCCAAGCTTTTGTCGTTCCAAATAGAGAATAATAGCTTAATTTTCATGGACGTTTTATCTGTGTGTGGAGGGTGTTGGAGAAAAAGTGAATATTCTAAAATTATTTTTTCAAGTGTTCCTTTCCACTTCTCCTTCTGACAAGGAAAATTAGATTTCTTAAAAGAAGCCTGATAGTTCAATTCTTTGAAACATTTAAGTAATCTTGTGGTCTAGTGTCTTGTATTTAGTCTTCAAATAGATGATATACTGGAAAATGCTTTATTATCCTATATAATTGCACAATGGTGACCGTGCTAAAAGACAAAATACAGAGATTTTTATGTAAAAGATTTGTGCTACTTTGTCATTCTTAATGTACTCAATTTCCAATAAGTATATGTTAGTCAAATATGAAAACAGAGAGACCTCAAGAAAGAAAGCCAAGAATGGAGTGTGTCCTTAAGGCCCAGAGTTCTACACTGAGAACTTCTAGGTCCAGGGAGAAATTGATGCCAAGACACATGGTATATCCGATATTGAAAGGAGACAAGGAACTCCCCCTTGAAGGCTAACAAAGAAAGTCTTTATTTAGAGTTGGCATTCTGACTTTGGATTTGTAACCTTTTAAACTGTGAGAAAATAAATTTGATTATTAAAGCTATATTCTTATGGTATTTCTGTTATAGCAGCACTAGATATTTAAGACAGATGTAAACATAGGAAAAGGAATTGCATGTTGGTGCTTTGAAAAGGTCCACTGATCTGAGAATTGTTGTTAGGTGCCATCGAGTCAGTACCGACTCAGCAACTGTATGCACAACAGAATGAAACACTGCCCGGTCCAGGGCCAACCTCACAACTGTTGCCACGCTTGAGACCATTGATGGTGCATGAGACCAAACATGATCTCCTTCTCCAGCGACTGGTCCCTCCTGACAGTATGTCCGAAGTATGAAAGACAAAGTTTGTCCATCTTGGCCTCCAAGGAGCACTCTGGCTGCATTTCTTCCAACACAGATCTTTTAGTTCTTTTGACAGCTCATGCCACTTTCAATATTCTCCAATACCACAACTCAAAAGCATTAATTCTACGGTCTTCTTTATTCACTGCCCAGCTTTCACATGCATATGAGGTTATTGTAAATACCATGGCTTGGGTCAGGTCCTCAAGCTGACATCTTTGCTCTTCAACACTTTAAAAGGTCTTGTGCAGCAGATTTGCCTAATGCAATATGTCATTTGATTTCTTGACTGTTACTTCCATGAGTGTTAATCCAAGAGTATTGAATTTTCTTTGACAACTTCAATCTTTTCTCAGTAGATTAGAATGTTGTTTATTGGTCCAGTGGTGAGGATTTTAGCCTTCTTTACATTGAGATGCAATCCATACTGAAGGCTGTGCTCTTTGATCTTCATCAGTAAATATTTTAAGTCCTTCACTTTCAGCAAGCAAGGTTGTATTTCAAACAGAGAAATTAAGATTAAGCAATGACTCTCAAACATCTCAATTTCTTGATGACACAATAATGACAATTCATTATACAAGCAAGTGTGAGGGGATTTAGCAACTATCTATTGGTTCATAATTAAAATGTACTGTATACATGTCTCTGTTGCTGTTGTCCTCCAATTGGTTTTGACTCATAGTCCTATATAGGGTTTCTGAGACAGTATATCTTTATAGGAGCATATGTCCTCACCTTTCTCCTGTAGAGTGCTGGGCTCAAACTGTTCATCTTGTGGTTAGCAGTCCTATGCGTATATACAGTGTTCCCATCTCTGTGTCTAGCTTTTGTAAAATTATGAGCTGAAAAAATACTTGGAATCAAACATTTATATTGCTATATATCCCTCAACAATAAAACAATGTTAATAATTTAGACCTTAGGATAAATAGCACTGGATAGCAAGGTCAGTTTGAGCCACAAGATCAGGGCCTTTAACCCAGCAGCCCCTCCTTGGACACCGTATACAGGGTCTCTATGAGTCAGAATGTACTCAGTGGCACTTAACAACATGATAAACTAGAGCAGTGGCTTTTAGCAAGACTCATTTTTGCTCCCTAAGAACATTAAGGAGCTCTGGTAGCATAGTGGTTATGAATCGGGCTGTGAGCTGCTAGGTCAGCAGTTCGAAACTACTAGCTGTCCCATGGGAGAAAGATGAGTCTTTCTGCTCCTGTAAAGATTTACAGCCTTGGAAACCCTGTACAGGGTTACTATGAGTCGGAACCAACTCCACGGCACATAATAACAACAAGGAACATTAAATGTCTGGAGACATTTTTGATTGTCACAATTAGGGGAAGAGAAGGGTATTAACTGAAATCTAGTGTGTGGAGGCCAGAAATGCTGCTGAATATAATATAAAGAATTATCTGGTCCAAAATGTTAGAAGTGCCAAGATGTAGAAATTGTGAGCTAGAAATAATTGTAAAAAAGGAAGAGCAAATTTGAAAATTCAGATTATTATAGAGAGCATTGTGGGTATCCAAAATGTCGAGATTCCAAAGGTACCTATTTAATGAGTGCTTTTTAAGTTATTTATTGGCAGTCAATTATCAAGCATTAGTGTTCAAGCACAAAGGTTTACGTTTGAGGACGATGTACACCCAACCCAAACCATGGTATTTTCTGTTGCTTTATATGTATTTGAAAATTGAACAGTGAATAAGGAAGGCTGTAGAAGATTTGATAAATTTGAGTTAAGATATTGGAGAAGAATATTGAAAATACTGCAAGAAGAACAAACAAATCTGTGTTGGAAGAGGTAAAGCCAGAATGCTCCTTAGACACCAGGATGGTGAGACTCATACTTCAGATACTGGTTCAGGAAAGACCAGTCCCCGGAGAAGGACATTATATGTGGTAAAGTGGATAGTCAGTGAAAAAGAGAACCCTACCTCCCCGCCCAGCAAGATGGATTAGCATAGTGGCAGCAGCAATGGGCTCAAATATAACAATTGTAAAGGTGGCACAGGACTGGGCAATGTTAATTTCTGTTCTGTATAGGGTCACTATGAATCAGAACTGACTCCATGGCACCTAACAACAACAACAACAATAATTTGAGATTGAGAAGTGAACAGCCTATTCAATTCTGAATGTCAATAAGTACTTAGTAGATTACTAGTAATAGACTATGGCTACAATTTATGCATTTTTCATTTGTATTTTGCTGTGCTCATCTATAATATTAAAAAAGAAAATTATCAAATTACCACTAGTTCCTTGACCTTTACTTATGGATGTGGATGTAGGAGCTCAAAATGCCAACCAAGAGAAAAGGAATCTTTACGTCAAGCATCAAGTCTATCCCCTCAGTACACAGGGTTGATAGGGATGGGCAACTTAGATATTGGTTACCTAAATTGGGGAGTGTAGGGTGGGGGTAGTATAAAGGCATAAAGTGGATGGCCTACAAGTTTTCAAGAGGGAGTTTAGTTTCAAAGCCATTGGGGGAAAGGTAGATCTCCCAAATAGTTTTCATCTTGTCTAGATGAGTCTCCTGAAAGGAGATGGGGATAGGATTCTTGTGATTCAACAGTAAGTAATGGTTATCATGCTAATTGGGAGTGTCACTGCTCTAAAGGCATAAGATGTATAACAAAAAGGGGGGATAGTTAATTTTATAATGTAGGAACAGAGGACCCTAGGACCCTCCAGAGGGAAAAGCATGAGCGGAACCTGGGATCCTAACCAAAGAAATAGTGACACCAGAGATGGAGGCAGAGGTGATGGCATGGAGAGACAAAACAGCTGAGAACTCTAGACTCATGGAAGGAGAAAGGCTGTCTGCTGGTGAACAGCAGGCTGGCTTGCAAAATGTACCCTGTGGGTGTTTAAATGATTATATATTCCTGCATGTTTTTGTGTACATAAGAACAACAAAAAGGAACAGAGGCAAACACTGTTAACCAATGGAGCATCAAGGGGATTGTAATCATTACAATGAAATAAAATATGATTCATTGAGTACATAACTGATGTTCTAACATGCAAACTATCACTTAATTCAGAATAAAAAGCTTTTTATATATTAAAAAATTACCATTACTTCCATACCTTGCAAGACTCCCATTAGAGCCTCCCAGCCCAGGCACTA